AAAATATTGTAGGGGATTGAATAATTAAATTATCGGGAGGGGAAAAGATTCGGATGTTAGTTGGTCAAGATTCCCCCTTTAAAATTTGCTCGACGGATAAGGTGTGGAAACTTTTCAATTAGATTCCAAGTTACGCGCAACACACTTCGTCATCCCTTCGCGCCTGTTAACCGTGTTCTCCACCTCTCCCTCTCCGATAATATCGGAAAATCGAGTTAAAACTAGTAGTTGGAGCGAGTAGGACAAAGAGAGAGAGAGAGAGGGAGAGGGAGAAGAGAAGAGGCATTTTGATCGGGCGCCGGGAGGCCAATGGCCGGCGGCCTCTACCTTAGCCAAGAAATTTCCATAGATCCTTAACGCGTCGGTGGAGTGTACGCAAAGCGGCACAGACTTTGCGGTAACGGGCGCGTCGTGCATCAGCCACAGGTGCCTTCTCTCACCTCGACGTACTCGCCGCGTTCATGGCTGTTGTAAAAGCGTCGCCTCCATCAAGCCGCCGTTCGGTTACGCCGTATCGGCGCAACCCTTTGTAGCCTTCTCACTGTCGCACGCCCATCACTCGGGATGAAAAGCGAGGGTATCGTTGTTGCCACTCGGTTTCGAGCAACGCTCGAGCATGGGGCGTATGGATTTTTGCCGAGATTAATTCTAGAGATATTGGCATATATTTGGTATTTTCTTTTTTTCTTTCCAATTAAAAATTCTTAAAAAAGAGGATTCTTAAAAAAGAGGAATCGAAGAAAAGTATCTTTGAATAGTGAAAAATTTCCATGATAGAACGAAGGATTGGAAATTAATCTTAATTCTAAAGATATTAATATATATGTAGTATTTTCTTTTCTTTTTCAAATTGAAATGATTCTAAAAGAAAATCGAGGAAAAGTATCTTTTAATAGTGAAAAATTTCGATGATGGAACGAAGAACTGGAGATTAATCTTAATTCTAGAGATATTGGCACATATTTGGTATTTTCTTTTTTTCTTTCCAATTAAAAATTCTTAAAAAAGAGGATTCTTAAAAAAGAGGAATCGAGAAAAAGTATCTGAATAGTATCTTGAATAGTGAAAAATTTCCATGATAGAATGAAGGATTGGAAATTAATCTTAATTCTAAAGATATTAATATATATGCAGTATTTTCTTTTTCAAATTGAAATGATTCTAAAAAAAAAGAAATTGAAGAAAAGTATCTTTTAATAGTGAAAAATTTTCATGATGGAACGAAGAACTGGAGATTAATCTTAATTCTAGAGATATTGGCACATATTTGGTATTTTCTTTTTCTCTTTCCAATTAAAAATTCTTAAAAAAGAGGATTCTTAAAAAAGAGGAATCGAAGAAAAGTATCTTTGAATAGTGAAAAATTTCCATGATAGAACGAAGGATTGGAAATTAATTTTAATTCTAAAGATATTAATATATATGTAGTATTTTCTTTTCTTTTTCAAATTGAAATGATTCTAAAAGAAAAGGAATCGAGGAAAAGTATCTTTTAATAGTGAAAAATTTCCATGATAGAACGAAGGATTGGAAATTAATCTTAATTCTAAAGATATTAATATATATGTAGTATTTTCTTTTCTTTTTCAAATTGAAATGATTCTAAAAAAAAAGAAATCGAAGAAAAGTATCGTTTAACAGTGAAAAATTTTACTTGACGATGGCTGTTTCTTGAAAGTGATTATAACGAGAGAATATTATATTTGGAGAGAATTTAAAAGTTTCTAAAAAAAAAAAAAAGAAAGTCAAAAATGATTTTTGGAGAGAGAATGAGAATTTAGAAGAGAGTTTCTGAATTTCATCCGATGACAAAGCAGAGCCAGTTTCTACTTTTGATGAACGGAGGGAAGGGACGATTCATCCATAATGGAGCCGACAGTGATGGCCAATAACAGTGTGAACAGCTGCTCGGCTAACTAACTTTTTCCGTATAATTGTTCACGTTCAAAAGTCATCCTTAGAAGTATTCGATATTATTCACCCATCTGAGAGACAACTTCTGCAGGGGAACAGAATTTTTTAAATTCGTATTTTAGTCGATTACGTAGCATCGTGAAAAACGCCTGAGAATCGAAGAATCTTCCATCAGTCTTAACTCAAAAATACGTTTCTCGCGTGAATAATCTTCCTAAACGAATCGTAAATATTCCAAGAAACGCCTCTTATAAGCTGCAGACAAATCGAAATCTTTAGTTAGAATCTTAAAATTAAATTTGCCGAAAATGAATCGAACGCGTATACGTAAAAAATATTTATTGGATCAGACTCACAACATCCACATTCGACGCAAAATTTTTTCTCGATCGAAATTCCGCTTTGTCTTTGTCTTGCAATAAATCGTTTTCAAATATATAGGTTAACGAGTCGGTACGGTTAAGTAGAATAATTGTCGGGATTAATCTGGAATAGAGTTGGGGAATTTAATGAGGATTAATCGAGTTGAAGACGAAGTGATGGATGCTTGGATGGACAATGCGAACGTTGGTTAAACGTTTCCAACTTCTAACTTTCGTCCCCCTTTGTTTGTCGGCGCGGATGAAACGCGAATTTTGACAGGGTGGGAAATTTATAGCTGCGCGGCGAAGAATTCGTTAATGGAGAGGGGGAGGATTCGGTCTGACTCGTGTTGTCTTTGGAAATATAATTAACGGCCGGAAACCCGAGACGAGGGAAGTCGTTTCGCGACTGATGTGATGGACCGTGATGATGTTGAGCGTGTCTAATGTTCCCCCCCTCCCTGCGAATTCAATTTAGAAATCTCTTCGATTGTTGCGACAATGGGAGAACAATAGAATCGCGAGAATTGTTATGTTTACGAAAAGGAAGAATTTGAGAAATTTTTATGCGTTGTAATGCGGAAGAAATAATAGCGGAATCGTGTGATATTTTTCCAGTTTAATTTAGAAATCTATTTAATCTAAGAATGGAAGAATGGTAGGATTGAATAGGAGAGTAATAAGTTTATTTATTATTTTATGCGACATTTTTAAGAAATTTGTACTTTTTATTTTCAAATTCATCCATCGATTCGAAACGGAATACCTTTAGAGTCTGCAGTTTAAAAAGGGTTTCGCTCGTGTTGAACATTGAATACAGTCGCTACATGAAGCATCGTTACGCTCGAGTGGATGAACTTCAATAATCATCTGTTTTAAAATCGTTTCTGGTTAGAGAGAGGTTTAAGTAAGAGGTTAAGTATCAAAACCTTACCTCTTTCCCCCCGTATTACGTATTCATTCACGAATTTCTTAAAATTACTCATCCGCTTTAACTCTCTCGTTTCAAATATTCGAAACAAAATCCCTCTTCCCTAAAAAAAAGAAACAAATTAAAATTATTAACAAAAAATTCTTTCACATCAATAACCCCCCAAGAAAAATATCGATCAAAATTTAGTCAATCGATTTATTCCAATTTATCATCGCGAAAGAACTTGTATTAATTTCAATAATTCGCTGCTCGTGAAAAACGTTAACGGTATTATTCCATATGCGCGCGCAACAGGGTAAATTGGACGGACGCGTCGAAACGTGTTTGCTTATCGGGCGTCACGGAATTATAGGAAAAGTTGATCGAGAGCGGGCACAGTTTTCGCTTACGAACAATGGGCTAGGTTGGCAAAACGGCACGGGATGCGAGCGATGAGCGATAAAACCAATGTCGACAACCAACACTGTGCACAGTTTTATGGGGTGTCGGCTAAATACAACGCGGCGCGCACACCTTAACAACTGCCGCGCGACGGACGGGGGATAGAAATACGGCGGAGAGTGGTTGCGCGCCAAGTATTTCCATTCTCTGCGACGGACAAATTTACATCCGTCCCGGTTTAATCGAATCGTTTTAATGGCTCGAGGGTTCGAAAAACGATATACGATCATCGTGTCGATTATTAATAATTAACGAGATGGATTAATTAGTATGTTAATCCTGTCACCGCGTTGGTTCATAATACCTCGTCGATTTTAATTTTTTTTTCCTTCTTCAAAGAATTTGTCGTGTTATTAAAATTATGAAATTATTTAAAATTGTGAATGTAACGGGAGATACGCGTGTCGAATAATGGAAAGAGAGTTTGAAGAGTTTGATGCGCGAATTGATGAAATATATAATTATAATTGTATTTCTATATAAAACGAAATTTTCGATTCTGGTTAAAAAATGTTGAAGAAAGATTTTTATATAGTTAAGGAAGTTCATTAAATTCATATTTTTACATAATTCTTTCCCCCCCCCCTGGTTTAAAATTTTAAATTTTCTGAATTTAATTTAATTTCGTAATAATAATAAGTGACAATTACAATTTCTTTTCATACTTTTACATTAAACTTCTTGACATTCTTGAGATGACAAAGTCTCGCGTCACGTTCTCTTCTATCTCTTCTCCACGAGACCATTGCGAGGTAACAGTGACATTCGATTTTTCTCGTTGACACTGAACCCTCTTTCCGCCCGTGGAAAAAATATCACTGCGAAATATAGTGTGTGTATATATATGTATAAAAAAGAAGAAAGACCTTACATTAAGCTTGCTCCACGCTATTAAGTTTAAGCAGCTTCCACCGTGGAAAAGCTATGGCGCTAATAGGATATACTCGTCCTGTATTTGTACCAAGCGAATTTAGATTTACCGTCTTCTTAATGTTTCTCGTCGTTTCTTCGCCTTTCGCTTTCTGATTTTTTAGAGATTTTTCCATTAGGACAACTTAACTATTTAATGTTATACATCTGTGTAAAAAAATGTTGTTACAAACAAACGTTTGGAAATTCTCGAAATGGAGAAAAATAAAATATTGAAAATTTAAAAGATTTTTTTAAAAAACCTGGCTCGCGACTTTCTCCCAAACTTTGATCTCTGAAAGGTATAAATTAAACTACCGAGTTTCTTGCAAATCTTAAATCTTTATTTCCTAAAAGCAAGCATCTTCGATTTTGTTCATCTCTCGATCGATATTGGAAAATTTTTATGAAATATAAATTCTATAATCTTTCGATTGCAGGGTCGAGTTTGGCGACGGAATCGAGGATTCTCTTTAAGACGTAGATTGGGTCTGTAGACGGGTTTATCAGCTGTGCATGTCCGAGTTCACTGGTGAGTTTCTCCAATTCTGTTTACAATGTATTTCCATATTCGTTCATCGACGGTTAACCGTGGTTGAAATTTTGGAAGAATTATCTTGAAAAGTAACGAACAGATTCGTGGTATTAGAAATTATATTTACGAGACGCGCCCTACCTTCCTTTGTACTTTACGATCAGCAGTAAAGTCTTGTGACGTAATATCGATAGTTTTAGTTCCCGAGCCCGGCAAATATAAACAAGAAATCGCATGTTTGCTTATCATTACAGCTAATATATTATATCGATCGATGTGAAACACGTAGAAAATATTTTCCTTCTTCTGATATTTCTACTAAAACAAATTTTTAATATATAAATTTTTAATTGAAAATGTTGGAATACTCGTTGAACCACTTAAATACCGTATTTTCCCTGTTTCTGAAAACTCTTAATTAAGAATTAGTATCTTCAATACTCCATCGAAAAATTGAAAGATCTTCCATTATTATATCGAATATCTATTATTATATCGAAATCCGTTCAATTTTTGCAAAAATTTCTTTTTAACGATTCCATTTCGTTCCTAAAATTTCTCTCTTCGATTATTTTCTCGCGCCACCCTTTTACCAATTTTCCAACGATCGTGTTTCCGGGACGGAAAGTCGGAGAATAAAGGTTAAGGTCAGTTTGGAGGATCGGCGAAGAGGCGTGGAAATTGAGAGTACGAAAATATCGGGGCGCGATTTAAAAACCCACTCGAGCGGGCGATCGGCCAAAGAGCGGGAAATTCGAAAGGGAAAAGCGCGATATTGAAACGAGAGAGCGTGCGTGCAAGGAACGTTCGCATCGTGATCATCGAACGATAATCGGGGAAACGAGTAGAAGAAGTTTCAGGGTTGTAAAACGGGAGTTTATGATTCAAGATACGTCGTGGCCGACGGTAAACTGCTTTATTACAGCATCAAAGGGAACATTCACGAAAATTGGTCACGCTCGTAATATTATCGCGCATCGTAACGCATTAATATCGTGTCACGGTATATTTCATACCTTCTCGTATTACTGTTGTTTATCCTTCTGTGTTGGAAAGTTTATATTTACGCTCGGTGTGTATATACGTATGTATATTATATATGTATATATATTATATATATATATGGGCGTTGTGTGTTTAGCAATGTGTGTTCAGGCAGGAAACGGATATTTGTCCGTTGTAATTATCCGTGTTGTGATATCGATTATGAGACTATCGTGTGTGCTCGACTATCGACAGTAGAATTTAAGTAATTCGTTTTTAATACATCGATCGAATCGTTTATAATTAGAAAAACTTTGAATCGTTGTAACGTCGAAGATGATTCTTTGTTAACGGATGAGAGTTAGAGGCGTGGAACTCTTTTGAAACGCATTTCGATGTATTTTGATACGGCTCTAGGTTTCCAATTCCATTCACCTTAAATCCGACGAAATCCTATTAAAATTAGGAAAACTTTGAAACACTTCGAAAACGGTAATTTTCGACGAATGAACGATCGTTAGAAGCGCGGAACCTTTCCTTTTGAAACGCTTTTTTGTTTATCTCGAAACGACTTCCGGTTCTCGAGATATCATCATATAAAAGATAATTTCTAATCATTTTTAAATCCGATTAAATCGTATTAAAATTAAGAAAATTTTGAATTTATTATTAATTTTATTATTAATTATTATTATTAATTTTTGTAACTTTGAAAATAATAAGTTTTGGTCAACGAGTGAAGGATCGCTAAAAGCACTGAACTTTGATCTTTAAGACGTTTTTTCGTTTATCTCGAAACGACTTCCGGTTCTCGAGATATCATCGTGTAAAGAAAAGATAATTTCTAATCATTCATTTTAAATCCGATTAAATCGTATTAAAATTAGGAAAATTTTGAATTTTTGTAACTTTGAAAATAATAAGTTTTGGTCAACGAGTGAAGGATCGCTAAAAGCACTGAACTTTGATCTTTAAAATGTTTTTTCGTTTATCTCGATACGACTTCCGGTTCTCGAGATATCGTCGTGTAAAGAGAAGGGTAATTTTTGATCGTTTTACGATCTTTGTCCTTGTTATTTATTCTCGCTCGCTCCTCCAGACGTGGATTTCGGGAAAAAATACGATTTCAGGGGAAGAATGGAGGTCACTGAATCGATTCACGATCTCTACATTGCCTCAAAATTCTTATATCTCGACAACCAAATGAGATATCGGAATGAAACAAGAAGCAGCTTCAATGCTTTATGATTTTCTTTAATTCTGATTTTTACATAACCACAATAATATTTCTGAACATCACATTACATAATTCAATATTCAAACGCGTTCTCAAAAATCGGCCAAGTCCACGAACAACAATTAATCCCATCCATTCACTAGCAACAGATGTTCGAAGGGGCGAACAACCCTTCCCAAACTCGTTAATATTCACCCGATAAAAATTCATTTTTCAAGCGAAAAGAAAAGTTTCGGCCAAAGTTAACGTCCTCCTCCTCCTCCTCCTCCTCCTCCTCCTCCTGTAATGAAAAGAAAGACAAGTCGAAACTTTTTTTATGGCGAATTTTAACTAGAACGACGTCAACTCCGCCCGACGGACAGAAAGAGAGAGAGAAAGAGAGAGAAGGGGATCGAGTATTGGATTACGATGGAATGATTGCGCTCTTAATTAAAAGGAGAGGGGGAAGTGTTGGAACAAGCCCGGCCGCGTTCCAACCCCGAAAGGATTAACTCGCTAAACCCGCGTTATAGTCTTATTGTCAAGGTATCGTAAAACAAGGTGTGCGCGTTACCTTGGCGTTAATTCACCGGTTAAAGCAGTCGTTGAAATATTCATGGTGTTTGCGCGTGTCATTCGTTCAACGCCGTTTCGTGATTCGTGCGTGGGTGGGCTGGTCTCCACGCGTGGATACCTAATTTCGTAGCAAGTCTCTCTCTCTCTCTCTCTCTCTCTCTCTCTCTCTCTCTCTCTCTCTCTTCTGGCGTTAATTCTTGACTCGACGCAAGCCGAGTGTTATTGCCTTAATACCCTTATTTATATTCATCTCCTGAGAGGAGAGGTGACAGGGGCGGAGTTAACCCTTTTCGCAAAAAGCTCGGGGAGCTTTCGACAGATTAGAGAATGGAGCGACGGAGGGAGGATGACTGTGGTTTTTAACGTTTATTCGCGGGTGAGATAGGTGCTTTGGTCGAATTTTAAACTTGTTCGAGAAGGAAAAATTATTGTATTTGTCAAGTATCTATTTTTGATCTCTCGATAATGATAATTCGAATCTCGAGTCGAGGGATCGATCCGTTTAGAAATTCGATACACCCCGTTTCCCTTAAAATTTACATATAAATCTTTATCTTCCCATTTACCAACTTCAAAGTTACTCGATTTCGAAGTAAAGTCGCGTATTGGAAAAAGAGAAGAATCAAGAGAATCGTGGCGAGGGGAAAGGAAATTTAAAAATAAAAACTTTTGGATTCCCGCGTCGTTCTCTAATAGGCGAAAACGATTCGTGAAATTCCTACCGCCAACACTCGAATTTCCCCTTTCGGCGAAAAATAAAACGCGTGGAATCCTCGCGTTCGACACGGTGTATTTCATTAGCCGTAGCAATTAACCGCATCACGGCGGGAGCAAGTGAAAGGAAGGAAGAAAAAAGGAAAGAAAGAAGGGAAAAAACGAGGAGAGAGAGAGAGAGAGAGAGAGAGAGAGAGAGAGAGAGAGAGAGAGAGAGANAGAGAGAGAGAGAGAGAGAGAGAGAGAGAGAAGAAGTTGGCGTTAAAAGCGTAAAACTGCGAAAGGTTGTCAAGCGCGAAGTTGCAGGTATCGGGTGGAGGGGGAGGGGAAGGGGTAAACGGTTCAGCCCAGTTGGCTAACGCGGCGAGAGAAATCGATGGTTAATGGACAAAGTTGACACCGTTACAACATCCCGAAACTGCTTCGGGAAACTACCGACATTCGTTTCACTTAGGCTGCTTTGCTCGCTTCTCCACCCTCTGTTTCATCCCCCTGCTTCTCCCTCTCCCTCTCTCTCTCTCTCTCTTGCTTTCTCTCTATCTGTATTATTCGATACACCTCTGGTGCCAGCTCGTTCGTTCGAGCTGGTCGACTGTCGCCGGTTACGCTGTTTTATGGGACAGAATGAACTGGCGTTCTTGCGGATTTTTTTCCATGTTTATTCGATGGTTGTCGACCGACGATGAAAATCTCGAGATACGTAGGGGTGTAATGGATCGCGTCGAGGTTGAAGGAATCGTGGAATTTGGAATTGTGGGAGTAACTTTTTTTGTTGTTGATATTATTGATGTTGGAATTTCCTGTTGATGATTTTGCGGAATATCGCGTTTGAGGATCGACGAAATTTTCGGGGTATCAATTTGTTTGGAAAATTATTTTTAATCAGAAATAGGTTCGAATACTTTTTTTTTTTTTTTGAGAGAGAAGAATGAATGTGAATTTTGTTTTAAGAGAGAGAAAGAGAGAGATAAATTTCTTAAATTGTAATTAGACAAGATTTATTATTTCCTTTAATTTATGTTTTTAAAAAACTTCGTTAAAATTTAACGAGAGAGATATTTCATAATCCATTCTCAAATAAGACGATTCTTGAAACAAGTAAAATATTCGATTCGAAATGTCGATCCTATTTTCATCCATGGAAATCGATGATGGTACCATATTCCCAGGTAATTAAAAAAAAAAAAACAAATCTCGAATTCAACCGTCCACAACAATAGCCAACTAACGATCCAAAACGTTCAAAATAATTAATATCCCGAATTTAATTAATTTCGACATCAACCAATCATCTTCTAACCTTCGATTTCGATTTTAAAGACAAGGGGTTGCGGCAATTTGTGGTGGTCTTGAAAAATAGGGAAATGTCCCCCCTCACGAATCGTAGGAAAGCAATCAAGAGTCGGTCAAAATTTGGAGGGCCGGCCTAACGACTAGCCAATCTTGATCGGTAAAACGATTTTCTGGCCATCATCAACTCGTTAGATTAACGGATGGCCCGCGAAGC